TGTAGTAATGCTTTCACCGACACGGACCTACACCATCTGCATCCCAGATCCGCGCACGAAAAGAATAACTTCGTTTAAATAAACCATTCAGCTTCAAGATCTGCTACATAGGAAGTTAATAGCACGCCTTGAGAGGAATCGTTTACTAACACTCTGTTAGCATAACAAAAGCAATATAAAAAGAGCCGCGTGTGGGGTGCTTACTTGTTTTGGAGCAGATTATCCCCAATTAAAGAAAAGGCCTGTGTAATAATGTACCTGTGTTTATTTTCCATGATAGTACGAAATGTAAGGGTAGGGATTTAGATGATCACAGTTGATACTTTGCAAATGTTCTAATACACTCTATGGGCCATACAGTGTATTCAGTTAATACACTTTAAATTTGGGCTTGTCCGCTGCGACATTTTTTGGTGCTTTTTTGCTAAGAATTTGTTACAAGTAGCATTTTCTTAGGTATTCATAGAATTTTCCATGCAATTATTCTTTAATCAAAATTTTTTATGCATATTTCCGTTATTTGATTACAATTACTTTCGGATATTCCTTTATTTCAGGCACTTTTCGAGCATCAGTTATGTTTCCAAATTTTCGTCAATAAATCAAGATTCTCTTCGACGTTTATCTCAGAACCTTTAAAATACGTTATGCATCAAAAGCATTTACCTAAAAAGTGCTTTTTGGGTATTGGATTTTTGAGGGTGCATCTTAATGGTTCAGTATATTTGGTTCAGTATATTTAGGGTAGTAGGCAATGCCTTTGAAGACCCTATAATATTGCTTGTTTTCTGCTCAGGGATCATGGGCAGATTGTGGAGAATTTCATTCTTTGTTCCGATAATGTGGTCGAATGTATCGATCTAACGAATATCCCATCAGTTTTGTAAAGAACTGTCTCAGACTTCAAGCACCATCGATTGCGACCATAGAGTTAGCTGGGATGACACTGAGGTCCTCGTCTTGGGGATATAGTATACAATAGTAGTGCTGGCTTAAAGTCGTCAAATGACATAGATCGGTCGTGTTTGGGCATGGGCAGCGTGTGCGAGTCCTTTCATAAGATGGGCAAGGTTTCGTTTTCAAGAGCAATATTAAATATCTTACTCAGGAGGGTCGGAAGTCAGCCTTTAAAATGCTGACCACCATACCATCTGGTCCAGGGCTATGAGATGGATAAGGATGGATTCGGTCATGTCCCGGAGGACAATATTTTAATTTCGCGAACAGCATTGGTCCAAACCCGGATGGTCGGAAGTGGAGCCACTGCATTTTCAACGAAAGTTTTAAGCAAGAATCTCATTTTGGCGTCACCTGTGGGGTTGCCTAAGGCATTTTGAGGTATGTGATGTCGCGTTTTTCTATGAGCTACCTCTATGCCGGAAAAGAGTTTAACGACGTTTAACGACATTTAACGAAAAGTTTTCAGCAAAGTTGACTTCATCGGCTACGTGGATTTCTTCGGACAGCCTCCCAGTCTGCCCAGAACTAAGTTGGATCATGGAAGGGACGGAAATAAGTAAGTTAAGCAAGCTCTTGAGTCATGCTGGACCCCCTAATAGCAATGTTCCGGAACCAAAGGATAGAATGTTTCCAATGGGACCAAAGGTCCCACTTTGGTACTACTGCGCCGTGATTGCGCATATGGGCGGTATTATGTGCGCTGACTGGGGGAGGTTATAAGCTGTCATCGAAATCGATGTTCGAACACACACACAAGACCCCCCCTTCACCTGAGAAAAACCCTACACG